CACTGAATGTACTCCCATGATTGAGCTTATCTTTCCGGTTGAGCGTAGGAAATACTTCGGTCAGCCTTTGAATTCGCGGGTTGTGGGTCCCTATCGTAAAGAAGAGCTTTCTGAGTCGCTAGTGTCCTATTCCAGCTTGGCCACTGGGCGATGTTATTGACATGTTTGTGTAACACTGCTAAGGATGATGTTCTCATATCGCCCAGCCTAGATTCTAGCTGGTTCAGCTAGTTTTCAGTCTATGGATGTTGTTTGCCGGGGAGCACATCTGAGTCTTGGAGTTAAGGAATCAAGTTGGTTCACATATGTGAGTCTGAGATTGGAGAGAGAAGCGAGCGCCTAAGTCTAGGGGGTCGTGCTCGAGCTGTGCCCTTAGGCGTTGATGTAACATCTAAGGAGAGGGATCAATCTGGGTCTGGGACGCGGGTGGCGCCCATGGTGGGTAAAGATAGCCGGCTTTGCAGCGCCTAGGACTTGTCGACGAAAGTCAGCGTTGGTCGAACCGCCTGGCGGTTACGGAGTGCGCTCTCCTTGCTTGCTCGGTTCCCATGCCTGCCAACTATCAGTTCGGAAAGTCACCTTTGCCCCGGTGTCAAGCGTATAAGTAAGGTAAATAGGTGACCTGGTCGTACGAGTAGCGGGTTAAGGTGAACGGCGTTGTCCAACTGGGCGGGCGGGCGCGGGGTCTGCCAGCATTGCAGCTGTCACGCGGGCTCACGGGACCGGGAAGGTCTGTCTCTTACAAGTGCCTTGGCCCCGCAGCCATATGGGTAGTGAGAAAGGCGGCGTCAAACCCTAGAGTCCGCGTCAAAGACTGGGCCCGTACTGGGCAGTTCGGGTACCTTTTTACTACTTTAATCTCATGGGTCTAGAAGATCGTAAGTAAATTTCTTTGTGGAGTAATAGAGTTCCCGGGTCTGCTCTTGAGGAGGTGCAGTGGTGTGATGGGTCCATTGTCTTGTAAGAACCCTTGTTTGGACTGCTTGGGGATTAACTGTCATCTAATCTAGTATGCCATTCTGTTGGGCAACAGATGTCTGGAGCAGATGGGTTTGCGAAGCAATCTTTCCGACAATATGGGAGAAAAAGCGGACCCGTGTGGTATTCAATTGATGGTGGTTTTCATAGAGGCATGTGTTGGCACAGCTTGACACTAATTTCTTGGATTAGCATTCACATGGCGAGAGAGACATCCCACCTGGATGAGTCTCTGTAGTGAAGTCTGGCAGTCGAAGCTTTCAGTACTAGGACCTGAGACTATTATTCTGAATGTCTGTCTGAGTGTTCGGTTGGGACAGTGTTCGGGTCTTGAGGGGCTCCGCCCAGGCATTAACGGATGTGTGAGAGCCTTAGCTACCGGTTTGTTCAGGCAGTGTGCAGAAACCTCTCCGGAGCTGATGCCCTGTATCCGCCCTATTCTTGCTGGTGGATTTTAAAGCAGCCCTAGGCTATCAGCACTGATAGCCCACAAGATCTGAGGCAAATTCATCGTTGCCACAAATTGGACTAATCAGAGCGTGCACAGCTTGCTTCAGTGGTGGAGGCACTGAAGACTGTGTGTGCACAGGGTCAGGTTGGTTCTAGGGCCATGCTCCGCCTTTGCCTCATAGTTATGCGAATACTAGGGCGGGCTTGCCTTTTGGTCCTGGTTTGTTCCTGTGCATTCTGCTTGTAGCGTGAAGGCCATTTCTAAGGACTTGGTTCCGAGGCAGGTGAATTAATGTGCATCATGCGTTGGTCCTGCATGGGGCTATTGTTTGGGTATTATATCTACATTTCGTTTGGTTTCGGTGTTTTGTTCGTTGTGGTGTTGTTTTGACAACTTTATGCCGCACTATGTCACTTTTTGGTACGATCAAAATGAGAGTGAAATTTATGGAGAGTGTTGAATGCTGCCTTGGAGCAGTTGAATAGTCTAGGAGCTAAGAGTCCCAAATGAGGGCTAACAAATGACAGACTAACTGCCCTGACATAGATGGTAAGTGTTGGTGTTATCTGTTGATGGGTGGTTTTTGCATCGTATTCGCTAGGAGATTTCCAAGACCTATCTCTGGAGAGTTGCGACTTGAGGAGAGTAGATTGGTTTAAAAACACGATTCCTTAACTTTGCAGCTCACAAAGCCAGATGTTGGACGGTGAGGATGAAAGATCAAGGATTAGGGAAGCTACTCACATGGCCGGGTATTTCTGATTGTCTTGGTAGCGCCTTGACTGTGGAGGAGAAACATGTTATCAGCTATACCATCACAAGGTAAAGTGCTTCAAATAGATCTAAGCCCATGCGGCATCACAGGCCAAGGGAGAGATAAGCTCACATAATGTTGTTTGTTTGAAATCTATTTCATGTACAGGGGGAAGCTAGTTGACTATACAGGCGCTAAGTCTTACGGCATACGAGCGGGGGTTCGTTTACTGCAACTAGTGTGGCATTTATGATTTTATATAGTTTAATTTAAAAGTAAGCTCACACTCTCTCTATAATAAGGAAACTTTTAGAAGGAAAGCAGAGATAATACCCCCGGCCAAAAAAAAAACCTCCTTTGTCCTTTTCAAGAGATGATCGACATGAGAGAGGTTACTTGTTCGGAATAGTGACAGGATTGGCTTAAAAGAATTATGTTTTATACTATATTTTGGGTGGCATTTGAATTAATGCGCAAAACTGTGTACTGGTGCTTCGTCATATCAGCTTTTACCCTTGAAAAATAGGCCCTTTTGAATATGTAGCTGCCAAATCCATGCAGATCTTAGTTGCTGAATTCTTCTCTTCCGTGGTTACTCCTAATACAAAGCGAGGAAATCTGTTCCTTTTTGTATGCTCAGAGGCGGTTGTAGTTGTCCCCCCCCCTCGCCAACTCCAACATGCTGTAGACTATATTCTGGGTATTTTCATTGGCACTGAGATCTGTATGTTTTAGACTTGTAAGAATTGTCATCCGAGCTTTTGGCATGGAGAGGCGATGCTAAGAAATGATGGCTTGGAATTTTGCGAGTGGAACCGGTACACAAGAAGCTATTAAGCTATCCAATTCCCACAGAAAACGCGTTGGCTTCCACCAGTCTCTAACGGCAGGGGAGGGAACAATTGCCATGAAATGATATGGAACCGCCAGAAGGCATTGGTGATTCTCCAATCGGAATCTTTGGGACCGCACTAGAATGGTAACGATTTGGGATTGTATAGGTTTGGGGAAATAAGTGAAGTGGCGTTATAGGGCTCAGTCAGATTTTGAACTTCTAACCGAACCAGGGCTCCATTCACTTACCATATCATTTGGTAAAGCACTATTGGATATAGCCAATCACATCAAATATTACTTTATGACGAGCGCATGTGGCCATGACAGAGCTGATCAAAATATAATAAAGTGAAAGGACGGGGTCGCACTCACAACTATTGTGATTAGGCCACTTTGCAACAGGGTCATGGCTTACCCTTCAAAGAATGAGGGAAACAATTAGTTTTAAAGTAGAGGAATAGGGCTTGAGGTAGTTCTCCCCTCACCAGTAGCTTCAATTCCGCAGAGTGCCGTATGAAGACGGATTGATGTTTAAAACCAGCTGCTGGGTAAGGGCTCGTAGGAGGAGGAAATAGGGTATCATACATAATCTAGCTCTCACGAGCCTTGGATACACAGACTACAAGCTCAAAAGCCTTTTAGGGGAAGCTGATTGTGTAAGTAGTATCACCGTGCCTGATAAAGGCGTGCTTCCAAAAAACCATGATGGAATTTATGTAGATTCTCTAAACTATTCTCTCATCATGTTCCAAGGCAACACCTTTGAGTCATAATAGTGGTATATTTTTTACTTTCTATGTCCTGTTCTCTGTCTCCTAGATACCAAGTTAGGGTGCAAGTAGCAAAGATAATGATGAATTTACTGGTTAAAAACAAATCTCCCCAAGGAAAGAAAGTAGGATTTTGCCGACGGTCTTACCAAGAATGGTCCCAGCCAGTTTTTCGCAAGACCCACACCGACTCTTAGGAAGAAGACGCAGTTCAAGCTAATACACGGGCAGGTTGGCTCAAGGAAGGAAGATCGTGGGTGTACTCAGTGGTGGTGGGGTGTGTGTGTTGTTGTGGGGTTTTTTTGTTGTTTTGCCGTCGCAGGCTCACATGAGACTTCAGCGCTAGTATAGAGCGGGGAGTACACGAGCCCATCTGTAGTACTAAGCGTGAGACGAAGCCCAGACTGATGCTGTGGGGGTGTTTTGTTGGGGTGTGGTGGTTGTTTTTTGCCCACCCGGCCGCCACCCACCACACCACCACACAGCAACACCACCACCACACCACGTTTTTTTCCTTTCTTTTCCACACCCCACAACCTTGTGGGGTGTGTTTGCGGTGTGGGGTGCTCGGGGTCGGAGCTTCCGCGTCCGTCGTCTTCTCACGGACGTTTTCCACGCAATTCAATTTAGTAACAGTGGAAGAATGTGCGGGGAATCAAGCATGTCTTCCTGTGGGACTTCCCACACACACACCACCATACCAGACCGGGAATTGTTCACCCCAGTATTTGGGATAAGCAGGAAGCTGCCCTATGCCCAGCACAGGCTGTGATGGGTCCCTTGTACTTCAATATTAGCCCAAATTCATCATCAGATCAAACTTCATGGCCAGGGCACAGCATCCACCACAAAAATCACGGATCCACGGCTTCCTGGCCATACTGTGGCCCCAAAACGTGGTTCCGAACCACGGATCCTCATGGATCTTCACGCTTTTTGCATTGGGCCACCCCAAACTCACTGTCAAATCACACATCATAGCCAGGGGCACAGCCTGCACCACAGAAAACTCAGATCCACAGTTATCTGGCAATGGCATGGCCCAAAAACGTGGTTTTGAAGCACGGATCCTCATGGATCCTCACACTTTTTGCATTGGGCCAGCCCAAACTCACTGTCAAATCACACATCATGTCCAGGGCAATGCACCAAAAAATCTAGGATCCACAGCTTCCTGG